AAGATTGGTGGTAGGGTGGGGTGGAGGCTCTGTGTGTCCCAGAGGTGAATCTGTTTGGAAATCAACTTAGCATCTCTTTACACAGTACCACCTAACTTACAGTGTATCTCAGCAGTTCTCTTAAGCCTGGTGCCCAGACCAGCAGCATCAGTATCAACTGAAAACTTGTTAGAAATTCTTGGGCCCCACCCGCGACGTGACCTACTGAATCAGAACTCTGCAGGTGAGGCCCCGGAACCTGTTTTACCAAAGCCCTCCAGGTAGTTCTGATGTCCTCTTAAGTGTGAGAGCCACTGGCTTATAGAGTAGAGGCTCAGCATACGCTGGCTGGGTGAGTGTTCCTGAACCAGGTCTCATCTGCTGGTGCCCAAGGCAGCAACTTCTCTGAATTTAACAGTTTGGGACAATGACATCCCAAGCCTGGGGTACTGGTGCAATAGGAAGGTAGCATTTCTGATCTTGCTTGTGTTCTCTGAGGTTCTTTATTTTATTTTTATTTTCATTTTCCTTTTACTTTTTTATTTATTTTTTTGAGATGGAGTCTTGCTCTGTCGCCCAGGCTGGAGTGTAGTGGCATGATCTCGGCTCGCTGCTAGAATGCCTCCCAGGTTCAAGCAATTCTCCTGCCTCAGCCTCCTGAGTAGCTGGGATTACTGGCACGTGCCACCATGCTCAGCTAATTTTTTTTGCATTTTTAGTAGAGGTGGGGTTTCACCATGCTGGCCAGGCTGGTCTCAAACTCCTGACCTCGTGATCCACCCATCTCAGCCTCCCAAAGTGCTGGAATTACAGGCGTGAGCCACCGTGCCCGGCCTCCGAGGTTCCTTTTACATCAGTGCTGAGAGGTCTCCTAGATGGGGTTAGGAGTTCCATTTAGCCAGAAAAGCAAATGAATGGACTTAGTAGAATTTGGACCCTTGCCCTCAGCTCAGTCCTTGTAAGCAGCTGAGCGTCTTGGGGTTTAAAGCAGCCATTGCCCCTACACTCCTTTTGTCTAACAGGGCACGGGCATGTTTCTCTTACTTGCCAGTAGCCCTGAACCTGCTGGAAACCCACCAGATATTTTGGATCCTGCCACTTGGTCCAATTTCCTTCCAGCTGTCCCATTTTACACTTTATTTGCTGAATTAGCACATTGGTGCTGTTGAAGTTCAAAGGAAGCCACAATGTGGTGTCTGTTCAGCATGTGCTGATACCCAAGAGGCTGGGCTTCAGTTGTGTTTCTACTTATTGTGGCCCACATGGGCTTCAGAGAAGCAGAGAGGAAAAGTTCAGGATACTTCCTGCATCGGTGAGGATTAAGGTGGGATCAGTTAATTTTTTGTTGTCACACCATTATTTAGAAACACCTAAACAAATTCATTCAAATAATTAATCTTTTATTGAGGCTGGAAAATTTTCCCAACAAAATATGTTTAACCTAGGAAAAGTTAGAAATGCAAATAAACATAAAAAGGAAAATAAGTATTAGCGGTAATGCTCTCATCTTAAGATAACCACTGGTTCTAAACT